GCCTAAAATACCAACATGAAAATATCTCAGTCTTTCGGAAAACTCAATCTAGGGGCTGTCCCATAAAACTACAGAAATATCCTCTAATACAAGAATTCTTTATTTTTTTGTGCCACAGACCTTTTGGAAACACTGCTGAGTCCTACTCATCTGTTTTCAGAATGTCAATATGTACATAAAATAAATGAGATTCCAAATATTTTTTTTAAGATATTCCATCCTATGTGCGTGGTGTTTAAGACACACTACCCTAAAACATGGTGTTCTGACATTTGAGTAAACAGCAGAAGCAAGAGAGTCACTCTCACCTCCCTCTCATCCATCTCCCCTGAGGCCAATCATGTAACCTGTGAAGGTCATTCTTGACCTTCTCACACCCACCCTTCCTCAAACAAATCATAAGATCCTCATTAGATAGATGTTCTCCCTATTCTGGAAGAAAAGGATCATCATTACCTCTGAAGACACAGAGAAGAACCTGAACAGAGTTCTTGCTAAATTTCCCTCAATTTATTACCAGCAGATGATTGCCCTTTGTCCAATCATACTTCTCCATGAGTATCTTGTCATCAAACCTAAACATAAGACACAAGTTTACCTGTTTCTTTGGGTCTTCATTTCCTTATGAAGGCTCCTTTGTCATGCAAAGCTTACCTAAATCTGTATGTTTTTCTTTTGTTAATATGTCTTTTATCTCAGGGGAGCAGCCATGAACCTAGCAATACTCTTCCACTTCTAAAGAGTACAATATAGAAAAGAAGAGGGGGTCTAAAGGCAACTTTACAATGGAGAAAACTGAAAGACACTGTACACAGCCACCAGATAAGATTAACATCAATAGTAGTAGTAAGTCAGGTTAATTTAACAGAATATACCCTTGATTAATAATGTTATGAAAATGGCACTTTTATTTCTCTGACCTTCATCTCAAAAACATATTAACCAGTCTACCCATGAGAAGATCATCAGATAAATCCCAACCAGAAGACATTCTACAAAAATATGTGCTTAATATTCTTTAAATCCATTAGTCATCAAAATAGGAAGGTTTGAGAAATTGACACAACCAAGGAAGGGGTCTGTAGGAGACAAAAATATTAAATATAATGTGGTTTCTGGATAGGATCCCATAACAGAAAAAGGACACTAAAGAAAACTAGGAAAATCTGAATTAACTAAGGACTTTAGTTAAAACACATAGCAACATTGGTACAATTATTGAGAAAAATGTTCCATATTTATGTAGGATGCTAGCAACAGGATAAACAGAGTATAGAATACCTAGGGTATACTATCTTTGCAATAATTCTGTAAGTTTAAAACTGTTCTCAGATGAAACTTCTTAAAAAATAAATAACATGTACAGGACTAGAAAGGAAACAAATTACACTGAAATTTATTTGTTTGTTTGTGCAGTACTGAGGACTGAAACCAGGACCTTGTACATGCAAGGCAAACATCCTCCCACTAGCTATATCCTCAGCCCTTTTTGTCTATGTGGTACTAGGAATTGAACCCATTGAACCATACCCCCAGCAACATTTTAATTTTATTTTTGAGTCAGGGTCTCACTAAGTTGCTAATAGACTGGCCTTGAACTTGTGATCCTCCTGACTCAACCACCCAAGACACAGGCATGTGCAAACATACCAGCCCCAGTCCTTTTTAAATTTTGAGTGTCTTATTAAGTTGTCCAGGCTAGCCTCAAACTTGTGATGCTCCTGCCTCAGCCTCCCAAGTAGCTGGTACTACATGCAAATGCCATAAAGCCTGCCTGAAATTATTATTTTAGAACATAGATTTAATATACTAAATTAAAATATGAATAAAAATATAAAACAAATCTGTGATATAAAAATATATGTATTGTATTTCTTTATTAATACACTGAATAATAATATCTATGTGCAGGTCTAATTATTGCAATTTTGAAGAAGAGATTAATGTCACAATATTTAAAGATACCTGCAATAACTATAAACACCGTTATTGCTTGGTATCCATGAGGGAATTGGTTCCAGGACTCCCCTTGAATACCAAAATGTGCAGATGCTCAAGTCCCTTATATAAAATGGCATATTATTTGCTTATGACCTACAAGCATTCTCCCATAAACTTTAAACCATCTCTAGATTACTAATATCTAGGATAATATGAATTCTATTAAACAGTTGTTAAATTGATATTCAGGGCATAACAAAAAAATAAGTCTGTACATGTTCAGTGTGGATTCAATTTTTTATTTCATATTTTCAATTTCATATTGGTTGTATCCATGGAAGTGGAACCCACAGGTTTGGAGCACCAACTGTATCTTAAATTATTTGAGATTTCTATGGTGAGTCATATGTACTGCTAACAGTTCTGCAGTTTCTGGTTTATTTCAAAATGGAAGAAACACTTAATTTCATTTAAAAGCTTACTAAGACTAAATATGCAATTATTTTCCTTTCCAAGTTCAAAGAACTCTTGAACTCCACCATAAGTTAAGAATCCATCCTCTAAAGGGAAAGACAGAATAAGTATTAGTACCATATGTACACTGTATTACAGGATCTCTGATAATCACTATATATACTTGGTGTCATTAAATCTTCAACAGTACCACTCCACAGATTGGGCAGATGTGACTAAAACTAGATACAAATGATAGCACAATTCCAAATGAAGACTGACGAAACACATCTAAAAACATCCTAATTTTGAGGAACACCCTACTGAATACACTACAACTCACCAATGGTTCTATTATATATGTATTTTATATCTATATATAATTTATATATATATAAATATATATTTATTTATATATAATTATATATATAAAATGTTCTGTTTGTGCAATCAGGTTAAAACTAAAGTACAACATTTCCTAGAGTTCCACAGGAAATCATCACCACGATTATCACCATCACGAGCTAACCCAAAGAAAAAGGGTAAACATAGAAGCTCCCCATCCTTGTGCAAATCTAAAAAAATAATTTTTTTTATTCCATTTTCCAAGTAACACATGCACAGTTCCTGTCTTTCTAGGGTAGGTATGTACCCACATATGCTTTTTAATTATACTTGCAAGGTGAGATAATTAATATTTTATTCAGGCTATAGCAGTTTCTTGGTTGATCCAACTTAGTATTACCAATTCTGTTTTCTTAGAATAAGTTGTTTCACAACAATGATCAATCTCCTAAACTTCATTTTCAACTTCAATTGTAATTGGCCGGCAAACTTAAAGCATATTTTTGAAAAATAATTACAGTGTTCAATAATTCCTCTATGTTTATCTTAAGAATTTCTTAGTTGATACAGGCTATTCCACAAAAGCTATATCCGAATAATGATTTCTCCTACAATATGCCACTCTATCAGGAATTATAAGTAAACATATCTAGATCTGAATTCTCAGTCTGTCCATTACCATGTATGAAAATTGTTATAAGCCACTTTAGGTTTCTAGGTTTTAAACTATCAGTCACTACTGACAACTGAGAGTAATAAGAAATCCTTACTATGTAAAAATTAAACAATTTGTATTTGGGGTAAAAATGGGAGTTCATAACCCACTTGAATCAAATGTATGAAAGATGATATGTCATGAGCTTTGCAATGTTTTGAACAACCAATAAAAAATAAATAAATAAATAAAAAATTAAAGGAAAAAAATGGTTGTAATAAAATCACTGAGCAAAGTGTCAAACATTATTTGTGCAATGGGGTTTACTTTTAAGTTGCAAATTTTCCCTAGCAATGATTACAGAGGATCTTTGCTGCAATATTATTTTTCTGTTAGCTTTAGTTGATTCTTTAAATAACAAGAGTTTTGCTCAAGAGAAGGATTTTATCTTTCTTTGGAAGAAGCCAAGATCATCTCCATTTAAGGACACACAAGCAGCTGCTGCTACACGTTTTAGTTACCCACAGGAAAGTAATGCAGGCTAAGTTCACTCTGCTATAAAGCGTTTAAAAAATTTTTAAATGCAAATAGTTTCTCCAAAATTAAAGAGGAAATGTAAAAATTAGAATTTGCAAATATGCTAAGTAAATCTAATATATATAACAATAAAATTATATAAAAAGAAAATAGAAGATACCTTCCTCCTCAAAAGTATTCTTTTCTCACTGATAAACTGTCTTAGGTAGTTATATGATTATACTTAATAAAATTTCACATATGTAATAATTTATAGGAAAGCAAATCATACATAAACATAAGCCTTATTATATGCAACTGATTAGGAATCTACAGCTATTTTAATTATTTTTTGCTATTAAGTTAACCTTAATATTTTATCAGCTTTAAAAAAAAATGTAGTAGGATTTTGTGGTAATTTAGTGCAGTTATTTTTTAAAAATCTTAAATACTTGAATTTTTAATCAGTTTAAATAGGAAATTATTATTCATAAATACATTGTTAAACTGCTAACTAAAAAAAACATAATTTAACTAGTTCTTAAGGTAAAGCTGTGTTTTTGCTTTTGTTTTTTAACCAAAAACAGTTATCAGCCTGGTTTTCTCATGTACATTCCCTCCCCCATACACATAGATATGAGGCACAATAACAAAGTAAGTTAGGAAAAGGTATAAAATTCGATTCTGTAAAAACATTTTTTGTCTTGCTAGAAGCTACCATTATGAAGCTTCAATATTAAAGAAACAGCAGCAAAAAAAAAAAATCAATGAAAGTTGTTTCACTGAAGCCTGTATTATTATTCTCACTGTATTAAAATTCCTATTAAAATAACTATTTAACTCTTAAAAGTCATTACCATCAATATACAATTATCTCTAAGCCTGAGATGCATAAATCTTTTAAGGACAGCTTCCTATTGCCCCAGCTTGCTTAATTTTTTTTTTTCATGTATCCGCCACATACTTTTTAAAAAAAAAATGAAGCACTAAGTGTTAATGACCTTTCTATACCTAAAGTAAGATAAATAAAGTTCTAAAGGTTGGTTGTGATATGACTATGACTAACCAATCATAACTTCGGAATTCCTGTGTGACATCATAAGACCTCCCTAGAACAGATTTTCTCCTCCACCTACTCCAACCCTTCACATAAACCTGGTAACAGTCAGAAAACCTCCCAGCTAAACACCCATAAGACTTCACACAAGTTGATACTCTTTATTGTGATGACCACAGAAACCAAGGTAAGAAACAGACTTCACTGATTTTATAATTCATACTTTCTGAACTTTTAATAAGTGTTAATCATATTTTCTATATTTCAGTTTTAAGTTACAATAAAATGTTTGCTATGATAAAAACGCTTACTTTCTAAATAATTGTTTATCCATTTTGTGACAGTGAAAATGAGACTTAATTGTGAAAAGCATCACATTCATTTTTGATACTGGTTATTGACTTGTTATTTTAACTTTCACTTATATTTTGGTTTTTGAGTGAATTTCTGCCAATTTAAGAATCTTCCAATTATGTTACCTTATTTGGTAGTAGGGTGGTTTAATTTTTCTATACCAGAAAAATGGCTTAATTTGTTTTATGTTATTCTGCTGAAATATAGTGAGCTATTTATATCTGGAATGATATCAAAAGTTGTGTGACAATATGCACATTATCACAATACCTCTTCCAATATTATTATGATTTCTTACTGTGATACTAATAAAATAGAGCTTAAGAATACACAATACTTTTTAAATGACCTTGAAGATTTTTCCTTTCTATAAAGTCCAGTTAACTGTTAATAAAGACTTCTAAAAATTCCAGGCTTTAATAAATTGAACTATTTCTATTTAATTCAATACTATATCATAAAGAACAAGTTTAAAAATTTTAAAACACTTGTCATAAACATACATAAAAGTTTTTCTGAAATTATAGAATAATAATTCAACACTTTAAAAATGTTTGGTACCTAAACATTCTAAGTCTCATTTGAGCAAATCTGATAAAATGTTTATTCTGCCTATTAATACACTTTTGTCAAGTTATTTTACTGCAGTGTTTCTCAGATTTCTCCAATAAATTTATAAAAGAAAAATAATACCTAGGAATAGAGATGCCACAATCAAATGTTTCCTCATCCTTAAATCTGTCAGAGCATATGAAAAATTATATATTTTATTTCATTATTTTTATATTTTACCTATATGATCAAATAAAATCTACATTTAGAATTCTCAATTCCTATGATAGTTGTTAATTCCATCACTCAAGACAAATACAAACTTTATAATCCCATAAGCAGCTTAACACATGAAAACATGTATTCCCAATTTTTGTCTACCACTGAAGCACTCTAATTGCCACTCAATATATTTATATTCATAAAATATTTTCCTTTGGTATATTATACAACTAACTCAGCACAAGTTTATATGCATATTTATGTACTTGTATTCAAATACCAATTAAATTACATTCTCACACTGTAAACGGGGTATTTGTTGAGTTCTTTCACTCTTAACAGAATTTCATATCACATTACTCCAAAAAGTAGACAAAGAGCAGAAATTCTATTAAAGTTACTGTTAGCTAAATAGTGTGTTCAGACTTGTAGAAATTACATATACACTAAGTGTTAACATTTTAAACTTAATGCCATAGTCCAGACATCATGTCCAAACTAGTGCATTTCTAAGGTATCATCCACATACTGTCATCATTTATAAAGACATGTGCTTTAAAAAGTATGTGCTAAAAAATGTGTTAAATGAAATCAAATGGAATAAATATGAAAGATTTGTAAATTATGAAATGTTAAGTTTTAAAAACAGGTGACAGAGCTGGCTTATTTACAAAAAAAACCTCACATCACATTACTATCATTTCCTAAAGTTCACATATCAAAATTATTTTAATAGGATCTTAGACATACAGGAAAATAACTGTATTTGGGTTACACACTGTTTATTAATCTTATTGACTGGAGACAGTAGAACAGCTGCTTAAATAAAACGACTCAAGAAAAAAATCAGTATATTTAACAAAGATCCTGAAAGTATAGTCTTAAAAATTTAGTGTAATGTATTATATAGTGTATTTTAAATGTATTATATAATGTATTTACTATGTAATATATTAAATAATGTAATATGTTAAAACTTTAATTGAAAACAAAGTATAGATTACCTCTTTAAACAGATGGTAATTCTAAAAGACAGTGAGTTTAAACATTCTTCTTTATTATTGAAAAAGACTTTCCTTAAATGCACTGTGGACACATATTTCATTTAATCTTCCTAATTCTCTGGGTTTTGTATTGTATCTCTCCTTCATAATTTAGGAAACAGATGCAAAAAAGTGAACTATTAAAGGTTCCCCTATTCACAAAACTATGAATAGAGGGACCTTGGCAAGAGTCTAGGTTCTGACTCTAAACCATATGCACTATACACTAATGAACATGACAATAATAAATCAAGACATTGACAAAACAAATAGAAAGTGATATATATTGCAAATGGCCTTTACCAGGCAAACTAAGAGAATATGAACTTATATTAATTTAATACCACTTCATTTCATTTAATTTATACATTTTATCTTTAATAAGCTAAATATAATGTTCTACAAATCATCTTTAAAGTGTCAGATGTAAGAAAATTACAGATGTCCTTAGTTATAATGCAATAAACACTAGTAGGAAAAAATTCAAAATTATCACACATACTTTGAAAAACAATAACACACCACAATCAATCAAATTAAAGTTTCCTGTTATTTAATTTGTTTAAGTGATGAAAACATACCTTCAAACCATTTAGGCTTGATACCTATAATCCAGCTTAATTTTTGTCAAAACTTTCCACAAGTCTTAATTTTTGTCAAAACTTTCCACAAGTAGTAGCACATGCCTGTATCCCAACAACTTGAGAAGCTGAGGCAGGAGGATCCAAGTTTAAGGTTAGCCTCAGCAATTTATCAAGACCCTGTCTCAAAATAATAAATAAAAAGGAATAGAGATGTACACTTCAGTGGTAAAATGACTCTGGGTTCAAAAACATAAAAGAAACTTTCCACAAAAACCAAAGTTTATTCCACTCCCATATTATATCCTTACTTTTCTTCAATTTCATTGTTGTTTCAATTATTCTACCATGTAAATATTCAAGTCCATTGGTTTTGAAGTACTTGAATAAAGGAACCTTGCTTTTTTTTTTTTTTTTTTTTGGAGAGGAGGATACCAGGGATTGAATCTAGGGGGCACTTAACCACTGATCCACATCCCCAGCCCATTTTATTTATTTATTTATTTATTTTTGAAGGGAGTGACTGAGGATTGAACTCAGGGGCACTCAACCATTGAGCCCACCTCTCCAGCCCTATTTTGTATTTTATTTTAAAACAGGGTCTCACTGAATGCCTCCCTTTTGCTGAGGCTGGTTTTGAATTCGCAATCCTCCTGCCTTAGCCTCCCAAGCCGTCATTTTATTTTTTGAGACAAGGTCTTGCTAAGTTGCTCAGGGCCTTGCTAAAAAACTGACTTTGAACTTGGGATCCTCCTGAATCAGCCTCCCAAGTGCTGGGATTGCAGGTGTGTGCTGCCCGCACTGGTGAAATCTTCCTTTTTTTATTTATGAATAAAATTCACTTTCATTTGAAGTGTGAATTGACAGAATGTTGCTTGTACTGGCAAAGGAGCTAACTTAGAGTCAGGGAATCAAGAAAATAATCCTAAATTACAGTGGCATGTATCAGATAAGAAACAGTCTCTCTGGACATCTCCAGAAATAATTCATCAATATTCTTACCCTACATAATTCTGAAGCACGTATTACCAAATAAACACATAAAAATAAAGCCTGAGTGTACATCTCCACTTCAGTACAGTCACAGTCAACTGAGGACCTCTAGTGCTTTGTAAAGCGTACTCCATCTTCGGGGCTTTTTTAAAAAAAAAAAAAATTAGATTCATTCACATTAATTGGGATATACTTATTAAATGCCAATCATCATTCCCTAAGACATCTCCCAAATTCCTTCTCCAACTCTCCTTTAAAAAAGTTCCACATATACATAGTTAAAAGGAATATTTTAATGCAAGTGAATTAACTGTAAAACTTTATTTCAACATGTAAAGAACTGAAAGTAATGAAGACAAAATAACAGCCACATGCCAATTTCAGAGGGAAATCTGTCTCTGTGCTACAGCTTAATGAATTGTCCTCAAGGCAGAGCTTAAAAGCTAGGACACTGCATTTTGGGGGTCAAGTTAGTATTAAGGAATATATTGATTTTTATGTTTATATAATTATTTTCATAACCAGTTAGAATCAGCTTATAGATTCAGAAAGCTGAATCTTTCCTTCTTTCAATTAAAAAAAAAATCATAAAACTCTATCTTGAACTTGATTTTTTTTTCTCAATTTCCAATGCCTTCTTTGAGCAAAAGAGAAAAGACTTGATAAATTCCCCAAAGAGTAAAAAGTTAGTTATACCCTTCCTATACTAGAATATTAATGGATCTCACATACAAACAACATACTCTGTGGGTACTTTCCCGTTTCTTACATGCAACTCAAGAGACAAGGATCTGGTATTCCTATAAACCAACTTCTATCAAGTAACTCACATATCTGCAGTACTACAATACTAAGATGTGGATTTTTTTTGGGGGGGGGGGTGGGGGTGGGTGTGGCAGGGAATATTATCAGGGATTTAATCCAGGGGCACTTAACCAGTGAGCCATATGCCCAGCACTTAAAAAAAAAAAAAGGTGTTTTTGTTTGTTTGTTTGTTTTGTTTTGTTTTTTTTAACATTGCTTAGGGCCTCACTAAGTTACTGAGGCTGGCTTGAACTTGTGATCCTCGTGCCTCAGCCTCCTGAGCTGTTGGAATTACAAGGCATGTGTCATTGCACCCAGCTTGGATGATTAATCTTTAAATGCACCTGCAAATATTCTTTCTGTCACAAAGCACCCAATATATACCTACAGTCATTCTTTTAATAAAGGAGGCGGGCTCTAAATTAAGTTCTGTGCATGTTTACAATAAAGTTGACAAGGGACTAAATTCAATCTCCTAGGCCATTTAAGCCAGATGCAAGTTCAGAATGTCCCAGCAGAATCTGATTATCGTAGAGATGCTTTAAAAAGATCAGATAACATAAAATTAAGCCATTTTTCACACTTTCCATTAAATATTATGCTATTAATAGCTTGGCTATAATTAAGGGGAAAAAAGAGGACTTCAAGATTTCAAAACTTATAGGAGATAAATCGGTGCAGAAAAAAATAATAATAATAAACACCTGACAACTATGCCATAAATTATAATGTAGGTAACAGATAATTCAAAAAATGCAAATATCCAGTTCTCATACACAGTCTTTCAATTCTCAGGATATATAAGAAAGCCCTATCTTCTGGCTTATTTATTATCATGCAGATTTTAGAAGTTCAGCAGAGTTAGAACAACACATCAGATTATAACACTATAAAATAAATTGAACACTCCAAATAAAATATGTACCACTAACATTTCACAGCAGGAAAAGCAAATTTAATCGTAGCCTAAGATTATAAAGGTTACTACATATCACTTTAGAATTGTAACATTAAATGTCTAAGTTCAACAAGCACTATTTGTTTCCAGGACCAAACTCTTCTTCAATAATAGTTGGCTGTTACAGTATCTTAAAATCATCTTTAAAATACATTAATTAAGGGCTGAAGATGTGGCTCAGTGGTAGTGCATTTGCCTCATAAGCATGAGGCCCTGAATTTGATCCCTAGCACTACAAAAACAATAAATTATTAAAATACTACAAAAACAATAAATTATTAAAATATATTAATCATACTTTTGTAAGTAGAGAGCTCATCTCTTTAGGGTGTAACTCTTTGTATTTCACAAACACCAAAAACTCATTTTTTTTACACAAAGCCTAGTTCAAGTTAATACTGTTAATCAGAAGACCATACATAAACATAGATTTAAATCCTCTAAGTCTCATTTTCTTCATCTGTGATTGGAGGAGACTTGAAAAACATATTAGAGCTTACAAGTTTAATTATTGAATTCTGTTTTTCTAACTGGTTAATCTGATCATTGAGAATCTTCTAAATTTTTTAATCAAAAAAAATCTTCAACTTTATTGATTTAATCAAACAGTGCTAATTATGCATTGAGTGCTAAAATACAAAATGAATACATGGTTACTTTAGTTATTAACTAAAAGTCTAGTTGAAGACATTGATATGTAAACTGAATTTACAGACACAAACTGACAGATATTTAAAAACAATAACACTGAAGTCCTACTAAAAACCAGCAGAGGTGATTACCAATTCTACCTTAATGAATAATGAAAAGTTTTATTAGGAAATGATATTTAAACTAGGCCTTAAATATCAACTGGAGTTTGCCTGGCAGAAAACCAAAAGGTGGAAAGGGGTAGGGTAGGGGTTGAGGGCATTACAGGCAGAAGCAAAACAACATGTGCAAAGAATGAAAAATCCTTAAAGGAAATATAGTATTTATGGAAACATGACATATTTCATGTGACTGAAGTATCATTCTTCAGTCAGAATAGGGATGATTCCTTATATATGCTTTATGACCAACTGCTAGCTAGCTCCCTCTTTTCCCATATTTTGTTTATCTTAAAATAATTTTTTAAAATTGATGTTTTAAGACCAGTTAAAAGCCCTGAAACTCCACAAAAATATGTGAGTTCAAATAGGAGTTATCAGTGCTAATTCTTCTCAACTGTATTCTGATATATATATCTCCAAATATATAAAGGAATAAAGAAAATCCTCCAATGATTTCCTAATAGTATAATTTCACTAGGTCTACAGTAATTCACTACAATAAATCCACTAGATATTAAAATAAATATAAGCAGAATTAACATAAAGTTACATTTTCTTAAAGAACAAAAGAAAATACCCCTACTTCTGCTTTCATCTGGAGAACTCAAACAAAAATAATTAAATATATGCCAAGTTTAAGCTGCCATTTTCCAAGTGGGAAATGTTTAGCCGGATAAGTTTAGCCACCTGCATTGAACAACAAAGAATGTATTTTAGACAAAATATAAGTTGTTGTCAACTCTTTAAGAGAATAAAGTTTGATAAAATTTGGCTTTGTATAACTCCTTACTATGGCCCTATACTATGATGGAGGACAGAGACTCAAGTCATATGGAAGCCCATTCTGTTACACAATTTAAAGTACTGAAGATTACAGAATCTAACCACCACATACCACATGGTTTCTTTGAAAAAACAAATAACAAGGTCCAACTAGTTATGTGCCTCATATATGTCTTCCCTGTCCCATTCTTCTCTCCTTTGCTCTCTTTAGCATATGCCTCTATTAGGTTTAGGATGGCACTCTAGGTGGATTTTCCCAGAATGTCTAGAAACCAAGTGAAAAATGAAACCTGGCAATATAGTAATAACATGTTAACAATAATGTGACAATAAATGCTAACCATTATCATTTCTGGACAGTTAGCTATATTTTCTTAAAAATTTTAATCTTTCCTACTTCAAAATTGACATGGAAGGGCTGGGCGCAATGGCACACGCCTGTAATCCCAGTGGCTCAGGAGGCTGGCACAGGAGAATCACCAGTTCAAAGCCAGCTCAGCAACTTTGCAAGGCCCTAAGCAAATCAGTGAGACCCTATCTCTAAATAAAATACAAAATAGGACTGGGAATGTGGCTCAGTTGTTGAGTGCCACTGTTTTCATCCCCAGTACCCCTCCCACCCCAAAAATTGACATAAGGATTCTGAATGAAAACAGAAAATTCTCAAATGTTATTACTCATTACATCTGGACAATTAATTCATACTTAGTTTTTAATCTAATTCATTCTATGATATATTTTTATTTTTATTATCAAAGCTTAGGCCCCACAAGCAGCAAGAGATTGTGAGATTTCTGAAATAGGGCTTGACATAAACCACTGCTCATAAGTACAAGACATTTGTGAACAGAATTGCCCATGGTAGCTAGTAAGATAATAATAATTACTAAACCTATTGTGCTTGACAGACCTCAGTACATAATAATAAATTTTGTTGAAATGATATTTAAAGTAACATTCTACAAAGCTATAAAACCTTAAAGAGGAATGCCAAACAAGTAAAATATATTTCATATTAAAATTAAGATCTAAAGAATAGCTTTTAAATGCACTTCTATTCCCTGAGATTAGCTCTGGAATTTTTAATATATATCAATTATATTTACAGAGAAACACACTTAAGAATTTTTGCCCAAAGGATTAGCTCAAAACAAGCTGTACCATGACCCAAACACAAAGACAAATGAGATTGTAATGATATTATCCCACCAAAAAGACAAAAACACACGTATGCACAGACATACACACATTATAGAGATTTGATGTTATAAATACAAAATATAGTGTTGAAAAAGAACAATTAATGCAAATGTGTTTTACCTATTCAGAGAACAGGTTATACATATGATCCTAATCCATTTACTATTTTTACATTCCAGGCTACCTAAAAGGAGACGGTTACCTCAGATTGGCTGCCAGCTTTTTATCTTTCTCTTGACCGCTTAAAACTTGACTTCCTGACTCCTGGCATCATGGAGAAAGTCCAATACCTCACTCGCTCTGCTATAAGAAGAGCCTCAACTATTGAAATGCCTCAACAAGCACGTCAAAATCTCCAGAACCTGTTTATCAATTTCTGTCTCATCTTAATATGTCTCTTGCTGATTTGCATCATCGTGATGCTTCTCTGAAGTTCTGCAGCAAACTCCAGATCCGCAACTTACTACATTGGTTTAAAATGTCATCCCATGAACAGGGGAAAACAATAGAGCCCACTTCCCAAATAGAAGAATTTCTTTATGAAAAGGTCAAGATTAAAACAAATTGTTAGTAAATGTATTTGCTAGATCTTGTAAACATGAAAAGGGCTTCATTTTCAAAACTGACTATACATGTGTATAATGTAACTGTTGATTTCCTCAAAATGGCTTATAAATTTCTTTCCTAAATCTTTTCTGAGGATGAAGTAGGAGTTTAATTTTGAAATAGCCCTACTAACAAATTCACTTCATATATAAAATTTTAGCTTCACGATTTGGGGCAAATGTTATTTATATTGCACAGTAAAAGCTTCTTTGTAAGTATTTTTCAGGTCTTTACAAGTGCCAAAATAATAGTACAAATGAAGTATTATTATTCAAAATAGCTCACTGATCCTCACATCTATTACTACTACTACTATTATTACTATTATTGTCACTACATCATTATTATACAGAAGTCTTGGTAGTAAAACTCCTTGTCAGAACCTACATTCTAAAATAGTTATATTATTTTCTATACTATATTAACATGTTTTGAAGTATAGGAGAATCAAATAAGGGTAAGACCATAATCTTATATAAATAAAATTTCAATAATTATACAATTCTACGACTTGTAAGTTAGCCATAGGAACTGGTGATCAACTTAACATCTGATAGTATGATTCCCATAATTACTAATACTCAGAGTCTAACTAATTTAAAGCTGTAGCAAATTATTTGAGCTATAATATCTAACTTTCCATAGTATACTCTTAAAATCATGAGAGCTTAAAATTCCTAAAATATGGTTACTAAAAGAATTTGAAACATCAATATTGACAAGTGTTGTTGGCTGAATAGTGAAGGAGACACTGCTTTTAAGTTCTTGGAATCCTGAGAAGTACTGGAGATAGAAAGGTGAACAGTTTGGGTTTGTGAATATTTAAGGAGCAGACAGTAAAAGGGCCTCATACTAGCCAGAAAACATATAAATCCTATTTTAGACCTCAACTTCACTGGTCTTAGAATTTACCTATGCAACAGTATCCAAATTCTATAATTAGCTATACTGATATTAAAAAACAAAAACTTGAACTGATAAGCTCTATGTGCTTTATTATATTGTTCATTACAACATCAATTTCAAACAATTAACTGTGGGAGTTTTACCTCAGTAAAATACAAATAAAGATTATTTTTGTTCTTTATTCTTTCATAAAAATTAACAACTCATATTGCAAAGATTTCAGAATACTATAATTTATATTAAAATGTAGAAAAAAATCCTATTCTTTAAATGAAACTCTCATTTTATCATGTTATATAAAGAACAAGCTGTAAGAAAACAATGTGGGGTTGTGGCTCTGTGGTAGAGTGCTTGCCTAGCACGTGAGGGGCACTGAATTCAAGCCTAGCATCACATGAAAGAAAGGTAGGTAGGTAGGTATTGTGTCCATCTATAACTAAAGTGCCAAAATTTTTAAGTACTAAATGTTCAAACACTTTCTCCTTTGGAATGAATTCTAATCTTAATTTATGGGACACAAAAATGACTAATTTTTGAATGTTTAATGCTGCCTTTCATATTTTCATTGGTTAAAAATTTATATTTAATGCAAATAATCAGAATCACCTATGTTAAAATGAATGTTCTTGAACTCAGTAAAACTGCTCCATTATTCAGAAATGAGGTTTGCTATAAAATGTTCTAATTATAAATAGTTTTGATACTGTAGAGTGTTTTTGAGGGGACTTTCCCCAAATAAAATATAAACAATTTCCTAGTATAAACACAAGAGGGCAGACCTATATCAGGTAGTGAATTGCGATGTTCTAATAGTCTCTTGATTATTTTTGAGTTTTCTAACAAAGTGGGAATATGATAAATCTCAAAATGGATCTACTTGTATGTTAAGTAGCCACACATTTTAAAATAAGCTATATGCCAAATTATATAGAAAAGGTGACAAACAGAAAATCAAACACATTACTATGTGTATATAAAAATCAGCTAATGAATGTGTCATAATTTAATATCCCATCTATAGAAAATGCCCTAATATCTACCAAGATTATATCAAACAGTAAAAAAAAAAGGATGTAAAGATAAAAAATAAAAATAAGAAAACTTAAGAATGTAATAAAATACATGAAACACTCCCAGGTTAGAAGTAAAATTTTTTCATATTTCATGTTTGACAAAAACAAAATCCTTTAGGTCATTTTGTCAAATTCTTGTATTTATATAGGAGAAAAACCTCCATTAAAATATGTTGAAATCAGGTGCAATACTTTGATTAGTAGCAAGTCCCCTTATGATTTAAATAAGCACAAAATTTCATCTTCCACTTTTTAATGATTTCAAGACAAAAATATCTCCGGGAATATAGAGAGAAAAAGGGATAAACAATAAAGACCTGACAAGAACAATTTTAGAGAAGGAAAAGTTTATTTGGGGGCTCACAATTCTGGAGGTCTTAGCCAAGATAGCTGGTTCCATTACTCAGGGCTTGAGTGAGGTGGAACATTGTGGTAGAAAAGTTTGATAGAGGAAAGCAGCTGGGAACAAGGGCATCCAAGAAGCAGGGAGAAAGAGAAAGAGAGAGAGAGATTCCACTTGCCAGATACAAAATATATACCCCAAAAGCATGCCTCCAGGGATCCACTTCTTCCAGTCACACCCTACCAGCCTTTAGTTAACCACCCTGTTAATCCCTGTCAGGGGGTTATCACACTGATTGGGTTAAGGCTCTCATAATCCAATCATTTCACCTCAAAAAACTTTCTTACATTGTTCTCACACATGACCTTCTGGGGAATATCTAATATCTAAACTATAATACACCACTACTTTACTACTATTGGGGAGATCCACTGTGGATGTGTAGGAACCCAACAGATATCCCTCTATCTCCAAACCAAGGAATGCACTGGAAGGAAAGGGAAGTATATTTCCCTAAAAGAAGTCAAGAGTTTGCTTTTTTCTTCTGTCATAATGCTTAGAGTCAGTCATGGGGGTTGGGGGGAGTAATGGACTAGAAAAGAAAAGAACCAAAGACTAGAGGTAGAAGTTGCATATGGAGCCCCATATTCTAATCCAAATGGGGGCATATAGGCTTCTCTTCATTCATAAAGGGATATGCTTCTGAGTTCTATACGACCTCAACTCTAAGATGACTTAGCAAGAATCAAGAAAATCAATGAACTTATATGTCTGTGTGGCTGACTCAATAATTGTTCTGGATTAAGTCCTAAAGAGAGCAAACCTTCCTTATTACAAATTAACTTTTGGGGGATAGTGGACCTGTGAAGAGCAAATGAGATCAACACTCTAAGAGCCGCCACAAAATTCTATATAATCTATTGTGTTATCAGATCATGACTTTAAGCCAAATTCCTTTTCTTTGATGTAGAAGATTTTTTTCCCATGGTGAGAGTTGAGCAGTTTTGACTGAAAAAAAATCATGATTATCAGATGGACTGATCCTTAATAAGGTTGCTCAATTTATGTAAAAACTTCACTAAAAGGAAGTTCAGTCAATGCTTAAAGAGATTTTTAAGAAATAATCATGAGGAGAACGTGTAAAATAAAGATAATACTTAGAGACACCAAGGAGAAGTTAGTTAATAATCTTTCTCTGTAGTAGACCATGAAAGAAATTAGAAGAGAAACAGTGATTCAAAGATTGTAACAGAAGGGCCAGGAGTGTAGCTTCCGTGGTGGAGCACTTAACTAGTATGCATGACGCCATTTTGATTCCCAGTACCCCTTTACCCCACCCCACCCATACCCCATAAATTGCAACTGAATTATCTAGCGTTCTTTACCTGAATTCATCATTCCACTCTCAAATTTTAAAGTACTATATAAAGAGATCATCCTGTAAAAGGTTAATCAAGAAATAGGGCACTTTGGGACACATACACATTTCATGCAATAGTAGCTTCATTCTTCCAATATGCACAAGGAAATTTAAAGATCAATTTTTCTCCACAATACACCTCCAATCTCCCTAACCTCTCTACATTGCTTCAGAGTTAAAGAAAACCTTGGGTAAAGCAGACGTTCCTCCAAGTAGAATAAAAGGATAAGTAAATTAATATTCATTCATTTAAATTAGCCCAATTTTCTCAGTTACATTTCTCTTTTATCATCCCTGTTTCAGTTTGGAGTAGTATGTATACTCATCCCCACAGCTCCAATTCTATGTAAAGACACCTGCTAGAGAGACAACTGTCTGATCTTTGTTCTTCAATAATCATAAGCATTTAAAAACTGTTATAGTATTTGAACAGTAAGGTATGCTATCTTTCTAATCACTTGAATAAATCACAAATAAATCTGGCTAAAGCACTCTTTTAAAATTTGTAATTTAAACATGCAAATGATGCATTGTTTATGTGGTTTAAATATATATAATCAAGATTATAAAAAATGGCCTACCAGGTATGAGAACCTGGGTTCAATCTTCCTGGATAAGTGATCTCTTTACTCTTACATGAACTTTATTCTTCATTTTTTATTGTTAGTAGTAATGAATAGTAATTTAAAATTTTAACTCTAGGGAAATTTTGTAATTTTTGATAGAATTCATTTCAGAAAATTCTGGTAATAAAAAGTAGATGACAAGATTCATGTTAGAAAATTGGTTTCCTGGTTAAAATTCCCAGTTGACATTTCAGATCAAGAAATTTATACATTTATGTGTTATTCTGTAGACCCATTAGGGACTCTACACTACTTTTTCTTTATATATTATATGACCATAAAGCCTTTTCCTTAAGCTGATTAAGAAACAACCAACACTTGTTTTTCTAATAAAAAAAAAAAGCACGTCTGGATTTATAAACCTAAACACATATCATCTGTAACCAAAACTTTAAAAATGACTTTAGTTCTACCTTCTCATTTAATAGATGAAGGAACTGAGGCCCAGAGAAATTAAGTAACAGGTTGAAAATCATCCAGGTTCTAAATCTGATAAAACCAGAAATAAAATCCAAGATCTAGTAATCCCAAGTCAACTTTCTATCACACCGTGTCAGCTTCTTTGTTTCTAAGTTTCCTAAAATACATGCTTTGCTTTATTTATTTTTATGCCTACTTAACAAATGAGAAAGAAAAGACTAAGGTAGAAATTTTAAGTTTTTCATGTTAATTAGTTCTAATTTCTTAGTAAGTTTTTTTAATCAACGTAAAACTTTTCAAATTTATAACATCTATGCTTCCAGAAGACAGAAAAGGCAAAATAATCAGTGATTGTGATGCTTCCTGCAAAGTGCACAACATCCACTGGAGGGAAGCAAATACTAGGTTTTGAGCCTTACCTGCATTGGTGTTTCACTTCCTTGTCGAAATTCTTCAATTTGCTGTTGTTGCCAAGGAGCTAAATTATAAGAATCCTCCGTAGTTCTACCTTCCAAAGGGTTTGTCCTTAACTGCTCTGTAAGCCACATCTGAGTCCTCACAGAAGGCTGAATGGGAACTCCACTTGCTGCCTGCTGACCAAGCATTAAATATTTTGGAGATTCAAAAGCCTCTGAGCTTGTCATAATGGGCTTGCTCTCAGGTAAGGCACTGTATGTCATATCTAAGGTCTGTCTCTTAAGAGCAGAGGAAGAGGCTCTGAAGTTATCTTTGCTACAACTCTCAAATTTATACTTGCAATCCAAAGTTGATGACCGTTTTTTATTTATTTCCTTGTCCTCTAGCTTAAGCATCTCCATACTGTCATGTAAGCAACTAGGCCCAATAGTCCTTAATTGTGATGTTAAAGTCTTGCCTCTCCCTGTCTTTTCCAAACCATTCCTCAATTCTTCCTTGTGTACAGTGCTACCTTGGCTGCAGTTTTCTGGGGCAGTGAGTCTGGATAAAGATGACCATTTCCGAAGAGGCCGGAAGTCCTTCATGTCTAGTGAAGAGTCCTGCTCCCCCGTACTGTGGTCTCCCAAAGTTTGTATGAAGCTTGTACTCCATTTTGAGCCATCTGATGTTAATGATTCTCTATGTTTGGAAATTGAAGCGCTGGAGTTAGACGGCATCACATGGGCAGTGGGAAGAGTAACCAGTGATCGACTAGGCTTAAAAGACAACGGGCCACTTGAAGTTGAATGATCTGGAAAGAGAAAAGATTGCCAAATTAGTTACAATTAACAGATAAAAGAGAATAAGATAAAAGGCAAAATGCCAGAGAGAAATCTGAATATGGTTTCCCATCATGTTTTTTCAGAGGTATTGTCATGGGAGAAGAGAGGTCTCCGGAGAGGGTCCAAGGAGTTCCCAGAGGAGAGAAGGAACTCAACTCAGGAGCACTGGGTTCTTGGCAGAGGTAATGGAAAAGAATTCCAGTATTAGCCAAAGTAATAGACAGAGGTTTATTTAGGAAGGTAGATATACTCAAAAGAGAGTGCAGGCTATCTCAAGAGGAAGAAGCCCAGACTTGGGTTGGGGTGAATATTTATAGAAGAGATGCACCAGAGGCTGTATGGAAGGTGAAGACAGGGTGGCACAATTTCACGCCAGTTTTCAAAGTGCATAGTGTTTCCCTCATTTTACAAGAGCATGGACCAGGGCATGGACTAAAGACATGTTGCTCAAGATTTAAAACTGTGTTTTCTGTATCTCAGTGACTTGTGGGTGTTTCCTTCAAGATTCAATATTTCTCTCTCCTAATCCTAAATCTCTATCTCAGTACTTCCTCAAAAATAAGGAAACGGGAATTCTTACTATAGCTTCAGGTTTATCAGAAATGTTTAACACACTTTAAAAACATTTTCTAAATATGCTTACATAATAAAGTATAAGTAAGGATAAAAAATGATTGGGAAACATTTCCAGATTTATCTTATTTAATCAAAGTATTGTGCCTTTAAAAGAAACAAAATCCATCTCCACATTAAGAGTCTTGACTTATACTCTAACAGTTGCGTCTCAGACACAACGAGGTGAAAGTGGTATTTTTTAGTCTCTCCTAAACTGTAGAACTTTATGGCAAATCTGAACTTTTTAGCACCTCCCCCAACTCTAATTCAGAAATGTGAATAAAGGAGCTCCTACAATAATAAGAAAGGGTCTAGGAAAAATTTGCAAAGACAGAGTAGTTCCTACATTTCCAATATCACTTAATTGTATCATCAATGATACAATCCCAAGCTAGAATCTTGGCATCTACTCCAATGCCTGTCTTTTTCTTTATGTTCATTAAATGCCAAGTTATAAATTTTTACTTTCAAAATGTCTGAATATCTATTGCCTTATTTCAAAAGTCCCTATATCATACTACTCTACACATATGAATAGTTTTACTATTGAAAGACCAGAAAACAAAAAGGGTCTCTACACTCAATGAATTTATCATAAAGAGCCAAATCATCATTATATATACCAAATTAAAATCAAAGATCATAATGTTATCAGGGCATATTTACAAATGGGACAGCAATCTGAATTGGTGGGAGGCTGGAGATGAATGGTAAAAGGCTACTTTCACATTTTATTCTATATATTTCTAAATCTGTTTGTCTCCTATACCAGAGTATATCTAAATACCACTTCTGTGCTGTGATATTGTTTTATTAAAGAAATAAAGGTAAAATAAATGTTTATAATGTCATAAGAAAATTCAGATGAGTATGAGCCAGGCAGACTAATTTTTAAAGTGATATTCCAATTGGTCTTTGCACAGAAATTGTTCATCTAGAGATAAAAAGTGAAACATATTACAAATGGAGGGATATGAGCAAAAGTATCAGAGTGAATTTATCATGTGTAAAGGGTGCCCATCAGATTCTGCAGTCTTTCCATTTTTTGGAAAGTTCTCATATTTTGAGTTCAAACTCCCAAAATAAATTTTAGAACTCACATTCCCAATACATCCTGCACCCACGATAAAGACATTCAGAAGCTCCCGCAAAACACTTCAGTTTGAAAAAATAGGCTCTAGGAAGAGTTAGCATTTCATAGCTGGTATAGGCAATAGCAAATGCATCAGTTTTCCACAAAGGCAGCACCAGAAGAGGCCCCACAGTGGGCACAAAATCATGTTTCTAAACAATAAGTGGCAGCAGTTGAGCAGCACTAGTAGATTCCTCTAGTGTTTGGTTGGCAGAAAGATTATTGTTCTTTGGTGTGACTTAAGGCATGTTACCAGGAAATTTAACCTAAAGCATGGTTATTCAATCCTCCCAGAAAGTCTATGAAGTACCAAGTACCCTTAAATAAATTCCTCAACTGTTCAATCAGCCACTCAGGTAGCTTCTGCTGCTGATTAAGAACAAGAATGATAAAAATATGATTTTTAGGAGAAGATGACTCTAAAAGAGGAAAACGAATTATCCCGTTTATCTACAATATGAAGTAAGATTCAAGGAAAGTTGCTCAAGGTAATTCTTGAAAGGTAAAGATGAAGTAGAACTGTACAAATCTCAAATGCTCTGCTAGGAAAGAGGTTTTGTTCAGCAAAAAATGTGATATCACTGAAAGTTTCCAAACAAAGGAATGAATGCCATGATTAAAGCTATACTAAAGAAAATTATTCCTGTAGTAAAGAATGAATTAAAGTAAAACAGCTGACAACCCGATAGATTAACAGAATATCATGGTAATCAGAAAAAAAAAAAAAAGTAGACAGGAATATGCTGAAGATTGGTTCTAAATAGAAATAGGACAAATGTTCCCAAAAGTCTAAGGTATAATGTAAAAAGAGAAAACATCTATGGCAAACTTGTATTAATAGATTAAAGTACTGTTATATTTTACAAATATGTTTGTATAAACATTACTAAAGGAATATTGATTAAAATCACCATAGCCTCTTAAAAATATCTGAATTTTTTTAACAAAAAATGAAGACAAAAATGTTTAAATTCATTAACAACAAAAGTATTTCCCCACAACAATCATAAAATTATTAAAGGCTGTTAATATACTATAATGATAGGAAAATGTGACTGTTATGAACTTTGGAGATGTATGTATATATGTATATATCAATATTTAAAAGATAAATATGTATGTGAATGCACATATATTTATATCTAAACACATATGTGTATGAGCAGAGAAAAGGTCTGGAAGAGTATACTCAAAATTTAATAAACAAAATTAACCCTTATGTAGTGAAAGGATGTCAAAAAGAGAAAGTACTTTTACATGTTACTTTATATAATGTCTTATTTTAATTTCTATAAAGGAACATAATTTTACCATTTGGTCAAACTTTTGCAAAGATGTTCTATGGCTTTGTATCTCAAAGAACACTGTAACTAAAGAATGAATAATATATCAAGGGACTGTCTCATTTTCCATGTTACAGCTAAAAGCACTGAGACAATCATCATCAGGCTTAGCTGCTATTCAGATGTGATAGTGCACTACTTTCCCATCTGCCTTCAGTAGCTCTGTATTTCCCAAATGCACATAAAATCAACAATTAAATGATAAATTCCACATCAGACTAGTATTTACTCTCAGACTAGTATTTACAAATGTGATTGATTAATGCTATTCATAGAATATTACCTTGAGCACAGAATTTACTCCATTGACATTCCTTATTAGAAATTCTCAAATTTTGCTATACAAAAAACTAACTGGGAGAGGGGGAGCTGGAGTTGTGGCTCAGCGGTAGAGCGCTTACTTTACATGTGTGGGGCTCTGGGTCTGATCCTCAGTACCACATAAAGATAAATAAACAAAATAAAGGTATTGTGTTCCATTTACAACTGAAAAAAAAATTAAAAACAAAAAACTAACTGGGATCTGGTGACCTACATGAAGAAATTCAGATTCAGTGTAATAGAAAAGGACCCAAGAAATATCATTTTTAAAAAAGTGATTCTGCTATTTCATCCACATTAATACCAATCATCTTGAAATCTTCAAACTTAAATATCATATCCCCAGTTCAATAATGATCAGTATCTGAGTTCTACAGTATGACTGTCAAAACTAAGGATCAAAGCTTAGTCCATTCACAAATACACACACACATACAAAAGCACACATAACACAAGAATAAATGAACAGGGAATCAAGAATTTGACAACATAAATGTCTGGAAAAAAAGAGACCATTATATCTTAGAGGTGAGTCCATAAAATGCTAATTTTAACTATTTTAACAAATCAAAAATATTACTTTGCCCTAAGAAACCACAGTTAAAGGTAAATGCAATGCAATTCATAAGGTGTTTTAAGTTAACTAGTTGTTGTTGCTTTAAGTTTAACTAATTTAAGTAAAAAATTATTAGGATAGCATCTAGCCCACATTTAAGTTATAACAGTGAATTCTCAAAGGAGCAGAAAATAGTCCTTTTAAAAACCAAAGAACAGAGTCTGTAGTATTCACTAAAAGTAGAGAAAAGCTAATTGTTTCAGACAAATTTAAGCTAATATGGAAAGAATATAAGAAAAGGACATCAGAATAATCTGATAATATAAATGAACTATATTTAAGGTAACATATTTCTGAACTACAAACAAAATTCCAACCTTCTGTTTTACTGTCATGTTCACAAATTTTTAATTGTGAATACATTCATTCTATCTTCTCTTAAATATTGAGATACAGCTTCTTTCTCTCTATCCTTCCTTTTTTCCTTCCTTCCACACTCTTTTCAGCTTTATACTTTCTCTTGTAAAAAGGAATTAAATGCAAAAAGCCTACAATAGATCTATATGATATCAATAAATCATAAGTCTTTGCAGTTAAAAAAAAAAATTAGGAAACTAGGGAAAGCGCTTGCCTAGCATGTGTGAGGTACTGGGTTCCATCCCCAGCACCACATTAAAAAAAAAAAATAGGAAACTATATAATCCTGTATCAAAACATTCTCATTTAAAATTTAATAGCTTAATATATTTATCACAATACAAAATATTATGACAAATATTTTGCTTTTTAAAGGAACATGGTAACTAACCATAAAGACAATGATTCAGTTTTATAATTCCATGAAACTTTTTTCCCTTTCCTGCTAATGGCATGATCATACCATATCATACAGGGGGAAAAAAAACATACCACATTAACTCCCCCATTTTTCTTAATAAATTAATATTTCAAAGTATTCCCTATATCTTTAGGTCTCGACTGTGACTTGCACAGATGAGACAA